TATTAGTAGCAAGACACTTTTTATGAATATATTTTTTTACAATAAATGCACAGATATTGCTAATTTTTTCTTGCAGATGGACATCAGGTGTCTTTGCTTGAGTATAACATTTGCTGAAGATATATTGCATTTTCCTAGTACTCAAACTGCAATATGTTATCAAAGAGAAAATAATTCCAGGATAGCCATGTAGTCTATTGTAGCAAAATTAAATAGTAGCCCCTTAAAGACTAACCAAATTTATTCTAGTAGAAGGTTTTATGTGTCAGAGAGCTCTCTTCAGATGCAGTCTCCATCAGAAAACTATATTGTCCTTTCTAGCTACTGTAACAATTGCAAACTGGGAAAGCTATATAGAATGTGCTTGTAAGTTTCATTGGTACCGGTCAGATAGGCCCTATGACTTTATTAGTAGCAAGACACTTTTTATTATTCTTGCTCTTAACTTCTTTAGAAGATAAGTGCTCATCACTGTTTCACTTTCAAAAGTGATGAACATCAGTAAGACTCTTCAGTCATGATTGCTGTTTTATAGAATTTTCGCTTTCTTAATGCATTCCCATTTCTGGCAATCAAGCATATTCTCAGATTATTGTTTTTAAGTAAGCAACAAAGAGAAGTTTGGCACCTCTCTCCCCACCCCCATCTTCCATTACGGGAGAAAATGACATTTTGCTAGCTTTGCTAGATCAAGACCAGTTCTGATGAAGTACAGCTGTCTGGTGATAATCTCTGTACACCTAACCTGTTGTATTCGTTGGCTAGTAACTGGAATAATGGTTTCATTTGAAGGAAATAATTGACACTTCACAAGGAAATATGGCTAAATCAGGGCTATTTTTGGGCAGGAACGCACAGGAACGGAGTTCCGGCTGGCTCCCAAGTTGGCTACGCCCAGCAGGAACTCATTAGCATAATAGGCCACATCCAACAGCAGAAACTCATTAGGATTTGGCTACATTAGGGGTTTGTGGCCTAACATGCAAAGGAGTTACTGCTACAAAAAAGCCCTGGGTTTTGACAACCAACAAGGTAAACAGAATAACAAGCAAAAGGTGGGTGTGGCTGGATAACCACACTTCTGGTAACATGGGGGTGCAGCCTAATGTGCTAATGAGCTGCAAAGTACAGCTGTCTGATGATAATCTCTGTACACCTGACCTGTTTGAAGGAAATAATTGACACTTCACAAGGAAATGTGGCTAAATGATGTAGATCAAATCTCAGACCCACAGAGGTGAGGGAGAAACGTTTGTGTGTATTGAAAAGTGAAGGAAAATGCTAAATCCATTATAAGAACAGGCATTGTTTGATTATGTAGGCTTACATTCCCATACAAGCTGCAGTAAACCCATGGCAACAATAGTAAGTACTTCAAATTAATATGGGCAATCTGCTGCACTACTGGGAACTCAGTAGTGAGCATTGTGATTCTGTGTTTATGACCCTGCTTCATACCATGTTGACTCCTAGCTCTCCCCATTGCATGCTGTGCTGGTCACAAGACCCACTATCATGTATACATGCAGTGGCATTTTCAGGCATGCTACTACTAACCTACATTTAGGGTGGAATTCAAAGGCATGCCAAGGCCATCTGAGTGCATGACGAGACCTGTATGTGTCCTTGGGATCTGCTGAGAGTCAGTGTGGACCTTTTTCTTCCCTGCACATGAAAATGTGAAAATAGCCCTAGCATTGGAAACATCAAAGTTAAAAATGAGTCTCTTCTTTGTAGATTTAAAAACTGGATGAATTACTATTGGAAGAAGCTAGAAAAAGAAGCAAGAAAGGTGGAGTATAAATGAAGTAACCAAATAAATAAAAATGTATGCAGAAGAATCAGATCACACATCCTCATATTCAGGAAGTCCCTAGATTTAAGTTTGTTGAAGCTAGAGGAACAGTAAGAAACTATTAAATGAAGACATGCCAATGCTTCATTTCTATAATGGGAGATGATGTGATTCAAAACATACCCACTACCTGGGAAGCCATTACTCTAGTCTTTCTGTGTAGTGGCAGTTTGGTGTAGTGGTTAAGTGCACGGATTCTAATCTGGGAGAACCAGGTGTGATTCCCCACTCCTCCACTTGCACCTGGCTGGATGACCTTGGGCAAGCTGTAGCTCTGATAAGAGCTGTTTTTGAAAAAGAGCACTTTCTGTCAGAACTCCACCTACCTCACAGGGTGTCTGTTGAGGGGAGGGGAAGGGAAAGGAGTTTGTAAACCGCTCTAAGACACCTTTGGGTAGTAAAGGGCGGGGTATAAATCCAATCTCTTATCTTTTTCTTCTCAGGCAGGAGGGAAATAAAACTTTCAATCACTTTCTGCGCATCACTTTCTCTTCCTGGTAGTCTGGTTCAACTGCAGGTGAATCTTCCGTCGTCGAGAGAGATGGAGATTAAGAACCCAGCTTTCTACCTACCAATTTTATCCACTATCTCCCCACTAACGAGCTAACAATTTAATAAACATAACCTTTTCCAGGCATCATGCAAGGGCTTCATCCTTGACAAACATCACCTGTTAACAGTTTGTCAGATTAACCAGCACATAGGGCTATTATCTTTCTCTTAACAGTAATAAAGTTTTAAAGAGCAAGGTGCAATTACAACTGAGCATCACAGTGACACTCTGGTATTTGGGCAAAAACTCTATGGTAAATGTGTCTTCTTCCATAGAGATTTTACCCAAATACCAGAGTGTCGCCCCTGATGTACTGGAAGTGATGATGTCACTTATGGATCACGTGGGTAATGATGCTGATCTCTCTCTTTTTCTGGGTGAGTTCCCCCCTGCTGACCAGCTGGTCGCCAGTGGGGAAGTGGGGCCTGGGAGCAGGGGACCCCTGCTTTCACCAGGGAATCTGGCAACCCTAGATGGAGAAGGGCATGAGGAAGCAGGCTGTCATCCTCACCCACAGCATTGTCTTCTGGGCCAGGCACAGGACAGCAAGTGGAGGTTTTGGGTCACAAGTAGGAATGTTCAGATGATATGGTTGGGACAGGGGCATACTATGGAACCAGATCTTGCCAGTCCTTCTGCAACACTTGAGGGCCTTTTCCACACCTCACATCTTTCTAATCCACCTGGGGAAAAGGCATGGAAAATGAACTGGGAAATCTATAATTTTGCAAGCCCTGGCTGACATGGAATACCTTCAGGCTGTAGTGCTGGTAGTGCTGATTATATGGTCTGAGATGCCCAGAAGACAGTGTGAAAATGTGCAATTCATCCTGGGCACCTGGAGATGATGAACGGCAAAGTGAGACTGTGTGTGCAGGAGGGGTGCATATTGCACAGCCAGGCATCAAGCATTGTTATCTGCACATGTGTAGGGACAATGGGATCCATCTTGCAGATGAAGGCTGCAGTATATTCCTGGGGATCTGTGGCATAGCCTCTTGGAGTCATTTGAGGCAAGTGGGGTGTGGGTGGGGTAGAACAAAGCAGTAATATTGAAATATACTGGGTTCAGACGCGTTCAAGTGATCAGCTCATAGTTTATTAGTGATTCAGCAAGAGAAAGAAGACTGAGAAACCCCTGGCCAAAGTCGGGTATTTATGCCTGTAAAAGGTCACACCCAAAACACGCCCCACTCCCAACTATAGGGTATTTACACTACATTGTTTCCCAATTGGGTTACTCTAGGATCCCTGTCACCCTACTGGTCCATTCTAGGATCCTAGCAAGCTATTGTTATGCATCCCCAAGCTAAGTCCTTTTGCAAGTACAGTTCAGGCAGCATACATAACAAATATGATCCCCCCTGTAACAATAGCAATTCAGGAAAAGTTTCTTGAGGGGTACACAGCACAGCTTAGGTGAATACCCTAAGGCATCATCTATAGAATGAAGGAGTATTACTTAGACCAGGACTAGGGCATCAGTGCTTACGCAGTTCTGGGGTACCATTATCCTTGACCCATAGACCCAGTGGCTAGGGAGACAGAAAGTGGCACACCTCCCTTGACCATCAAGAAGGCTTGGCCCATGAGGACTCTTAAGTTCGGAGGCAGGGTGGCCTTACCCATAAAATCAAGGAGGTACTAACAGAGGGGGCCTGACTCTTGTCCATCCTACCAATTGCCTGAACTACAACTGGGTTTGGAATGGGGTTGGCACAGCAGATCCCCCCTTTTTGAATTGATAAATAAACATAGCCATTTATTATCCCATCTGACCTGGATAGCCCAGGCTAGCCCGTTCCTGTCAGATCTCGAAAACGAAGCAGGGTTGGCCTTGGCTAGTATTTGGAAGGGCAACCTCAAGGAATACCAGGGTCGTGACACAGAGCCAGGCAATGGCAAACCACCTCTGAAATGTCTCTTGTTTTTTTTTTTTTAAAAAAAACAACTCTAGCTCTCCACCTAGTGGTGCATAATGCTAAAGGAGCTAAAACTTTTGGCTGCCAGACAATTTTAGGATCTCCTGGTTACTCTACACACAATGTCATACGATAATTAAAATTAATTAAATTAAATCCCATCTGAAGTGGTCCGCTCTCCTCTCCTTATTCAGCATCTGCATTTGTAGTATTGTAAGCAACTCTTTGGAGGCATGCAGGAACCACAAGTCAATTCAGACTGAGTTATTGGTAAAAGAGACTAGGTGTCTATTTGTTTTACTGTTTGGGGGATTCAAGCAGGCCAAGGTCTCAGTTAACTGACTGATTTTATAATCCTTAGAATCTTTTTTTAAGCTTCCAGACAGATTTTAAGGCTATTTTTCAGGACCGCCTTTTTAGCTTCTTATTTTTGAATTTCTAACACATTTAACAGAGGTTCCTGAAATAAAGTAACAGGACCTGTTTTACAAAGACACTGACCATGTACGTAATTTGGCCCATGGTGAATTTACGTTGCTCACAAAATAGCCAAACTCTTTAGGGTGGGTCTTGAATTAAGGCACTAGGGAAAGGAAATACAGCATAAAGAGTTGTGAAGTGTACATAGTGAACTGTTAGAATGAAATCCCTATTGCTTTTTCCCCCACAGTGATGTAACATTCTTGGTTGGTGGAGAGCAGCAGGAAGTCTTTGCCCATCGCTGTCTCCTTTCTTGTCGCTGCCAGGCGTTCCATGCAATGCTGAGCCAGCCCCAGGAGACCCAAGCCCCACTTCTCCTGAGCCATGTACAGCCAGAGGTGTTCCTTGCAGTCATTGAGTACCTGTACACTAATAGTGTCACCCTCAACAACGGCATTGTAAGTAGGACCTGTATTAATAAGGGACTGGACTTCCAGGGAAGGTACTAAATAGGAGGATGGGTTGAAAGCAAATGATGTCACGATCTGCTTATGAGAATGGTGAGGTTACACAGCCCTTCTAAACCAGTCTTGTAGATAAATTTAAAAAGATTACCAGCCCACCAAATGGGAAAATCTACCTTCAGCACTGTCATTAGCTGATTTTATTAATTTTATGAACTATTTATTTTGCTGGTTTTTATACTTTTTATTTCTTCTTATGATGATGCACCTCTACCACAAATGTTTGTTTCTGAATAAGGTAACCAACTAATTCATTTCTTGAAGGATAGTTGTATTAATCTGGTTGGAAGCAAAAAAGAACAGAAGTCTTGTGGCATGATCCTAAAGATATTATTCCAGCACAAACTTTCATGGACTGGAGCCCGCTTCTTCAGATGCAATGAGTGAATCGTCAGTATATGATGAAGTGTGCATGCACACAAAAGTTTATACCCAGAATTACATATTGTTGGTCTTAAATAAACAAACTGCAGGATCAGGGCAAATGCATGAAATAAAATGTCATTAAGAAACATTCAAGCCTAATTGAGAAAAATACAGTTAAAGCAAGCTAGGCGACACCCGTAAAACATCTTGGTTTTGCTAAAGATACCTGGGTGGGAGACTTGAACCACGAGTTGGGATTTCTTGCTAATTATAGATGTCAGCTATTGTAGCAAAAGCTAGGAGTTCCTGTGTTTTACAAACATGAACTAGCTTAGCATACCTTGTGAATGGTCTTCGTTGTACATTTCTGGGTTACATTTTAATTTTACAAAATTACATTTATTATATTTCACTCTGGACTTCCTGTGTCTTACGGCCCTGCAACCCTGTTTTTCAAAATATATCCTACAAAATAGTCTGCATAAGTGAGGATGCCCTCATTGCATCTGAAGACAGGAGCTGTAGTTCATGAAAGGTGATATTAGAATTTTTTTTTGTTAGTCTTATTTATTTATTTAAGGTGCCGCAGGATTCCTATTTATATCTGCAATGAATTCAACGTTGTTGTTATTAATAAATCATTTAGTCACATGTCATGTTGAAAATAGAATGGCTTGATTGGGCTTGGAAAATGATTCACATGGATAGAATTATCATTTCACCTGTGTGAATGGCTAATCAACAAGACCATTCTAAACCACAAGCATTTTATTAGGCTCCAGATAATGAGATTGTTATTTTGCTTTTGGTTAATGTAAAGCCCTTGGCTGTGAGAGATACAAAGACCTGGTTCAAGAAATAATTACTCGCTAGTCAGTAATTTCAGTATCATGCTATGAAAAGGGTCTGTCTGTCTGTCTGTCGGCAGCTTAAAAGTTCTAACTATCAGTGCAATACTGCAACAGTGTCAGGTGAGGCACCATGTTTCTCTCAGAGTAACCAGGGTCATGTTTTATAATCCTATTCCACGCATCAGTTCGGAAACAGCTGCCACCTTCCACCATGGGAGGACACTGGGCTTGAAACCTCCCAACGTTCTAAACCACAAGCATTTTATTAGGCTCCAGATAATGAGATTGTTATTTTGCTTTTGGTTAATGTAAAGCCCTTGGCTGTGAGAGATACAAAGACCTGGTTCAAGAAATAATTACTCGCTAGTCAGTAATTTCAGTATCATGCTATGAAAAGAGTCTGTGTGTCTGTCTGTCTGTCTGGCTGGCTGGCTGGCTGGCACAGGGCAGGCATTAGCAAGGGAGAAGGGGAGGGCTGGGGGAGGTCTGCCAAATTTTGAAATCAAAATGGGCGTTCTCAGCTGGCTAATCTTTGAAAACTATTCTTGTGAGTAAAAGCCTGGAAAAAACAGACAAAATGGGCTCAAACCTGTGCCTTCTGCAAGAGGACAGAGAGCCCTAACTGTGGGGCTCTTAAAACAATGATCATCACCTTGTTTCCTCCTGTAGGCCCTGGAGGTGCTGACGTCATCCATGGAGTATGGACTGAATGACCTCAGAAAGGTAGGGATAGTTGCTTGTGACCTGTGTTGATTCTTTGTGGAAAGACAGCCTTTGCCTTATGAAACTGTAGCGTAATCTTTGATGCCTGATTATTGCAAGATGTGGAGATTGGATTGTCCTCCTGTGTTCATGTTCTTAGTTGTGACCACTGTGCAGCCACACACTGGAGAACTGAGAAGGTGCAAGCCTGCCAGGTTAAAACTTCCAAAGCTTTCCAAAGCCCTGGAGGACACTCTCCCCTCCCACCGACCTTCCTGCCAAAATGATGACATGATAGGAGGGGAGAGCTCTTGCCTCCTCACCCCTCTTTCCGCCCCTGCAGAGAGAGGAGCTTCCAGTTTTTCCTGTCACCTTTTTCTCTCAAACATACAATTCCTTTATGCTTTCCAGCAATTTTTCTTCTCTTCGTCACATAACCTCTTTTTTAACTAATGGCCTTAGGGATTCCGGCCCCCAGATGGAACCTGGGGATCCTCTTGAATTACAGCTTATCTCCAGACTACAGGGATCAGTTCCCCTGGAGAAAATGGATGTTTTGGAGGGTGAACTCTATGGCATTGTACCCCACTGAGGTCCCTGTCCTCCCCAGGATCCATCACCCAATCTTCAGGAATTTCCAGACCTGGATTTGGCAACCCTACTCCACCCATCCCCCGCTGGTGGCCGGTGGGGGGGCATGGCAATGCTAGAAAGTCTTTGTTTTAAAAGTGAACCCAGTGGGTACTAAAACAGCCCAAGTCGATGACCACTGTCATTATCTGATGTGTCTCGGTGAAGGACATAATGTCTCCACTTGCTCCATACGCAAACAGTTCACCTCCAAGACAGGTATGGTAGGGCCTATCACCTGAAGGCAACTCCTTGGGAAAAGGCACTAGTGGCCACAGATACATGAGAGGGTCAGTATGCATCTCCCTCCTAGGCTGTGCTGGATGTTATGAGAGAGTCCAAGAAGCCTTCTACATGGAAGTCCTGCTCTGAAAAATGTCTTCTGGGCTGTGGCTAAACATCTGCAGTGTGTAGGTCTCTTTTACTTTCATCAGGCCCAGAATTCATGACTGACTGATAAAAGGCTGCATTTTTAGTAACTATCTCTTCTGCTAGATATGTAGGTGAACTGGCTGCCATGACCCTCCCTTTATAAATTTCTATCCTTATACACTGGTACTCAGGTCTAGCCTGCCTATCTGTCCTAAGGTGGTCTCCCTTTTTCACATCAATCAGCCCATTGTCTTACCGGTATTTTTTCTACATCCTGAGGATGACAAAGAAAAATCATTACACATATTGGATGTTCATAGAGCACGACTGTTTTATTTAGACAGGACTCAGTCTGCCGGGAGTGCACATAATCTGACTGCCATTCTGCCCCAAGAAAGTGTTTGGCAGCTTCCTCCCAATCCCTCTCTCATTGGGCAGTTTCTGCTGTCACCAATGGTTACACCTTAGCAGAGGATGCCTGAGAGCTTCACTAGTTAAACATAAGAACATAAGAGACGCCAATGTTGGATAAGGCCAATGGCCCATCTAGTCTAACACTCTGTCACACAGTGGCCAAAATACCAGGTGCCATCAGGAGGTCCAGCAGTGGGGCCAGGACACTAGCAGCCCTCCCACTGTTGCTCCCCCCCAAGCACCAAGAATACAGAGCATCACTTGCCCCAGCCTGAGAGTTCCTATCTATACCTTGTGGCTAATAGCCACTGCTGGACTTCTGCTCCATATGCTTATCTGATTCCCTCTTGAAGCCATCCATGCCACCTCCTGTGGCAGTGAATTCCATGTGTTAATCACTCTTTGGGGGAAGAAGTACTTCCTTTTATCTGTTCTAACCGACTGCTCAGCAATTTCATGGAGTGCCCATAAGTTCTTGTATTGTGAGAAAGGGAGAAAAATACTTCTTTCTCAACCTGCTCTATCCCATGCATAATCTTATAAACCTCAATAATGTCACCCCTCAGATGTCGTTTCTCCATCTTTTTTTCCTTATCCAGTAAGTACGCCACTCTCCAAGATGTGGGACTGCACAGTGATAACTACAATGCAAACAGAGTTGCACTTACCTATAATTGCTGTTCATCGAGTAATTTCCTGTGCAGTCACACATCCCACTTGCCTGAGATTCTGTTGTGTGTGCGTGTGTGTATATATATTTTAAAAGATTTTTCACCAGAATCTCAGTATGATGTTTTTCTTGTTGTGGTTGTATTTGTATACCCTCACAGATATTTAGATACATATCGTTGTTTATCCTTTCAGTTTTCACAACAATAAATTTCTAGTTATTGCACTAATACCATGTTCCATTGTTACGTTCTTCCTGGTGGCAGCAGTGCAAGGACTGAGGAGACAGGCTCTCTCGCTCTCCTCCTATCGTGTGACGTAGTGGGAAGGCCAGTGGGAGGGGAAAGTACCCTCTTGGGCTTTGGGAGGCTTTGGGAAGCTGTGGGAGGCCTGCACCTGCACAGATCCCATATGTGTGATTGCACTGTAGATCACTCAAGGAACAACAGTTACAGGTATGTGTAACTCTGTTTTCCTTGATAAGGTTTCCCTTGCTCAAAAGCTAGTCAAATCCAACTCTAGGGGGCGGTGCCCATCTCTGTTTCTAAGCTGAAGAGCCAGCGCTGTCTGAAGACTTTTCTGTGGTCACGTGGCCGGCATAACTAAACGCTGAGGCGCACGGAACGCTGTTACCTTCCCATCGAAACGGTACCTATTTATCCACTTGCAATTTCTTGCTTTCAAACCGCTAGGTTGGCAGGAGCTGGGGCCAGAGATGGGAGCTCATTCCATCATGTGGCACTAGGGTGTCGAACTGCTGACCTACAGCAGCTCAGCATCTTAACCTCTAAGCCACCACAGCTTATATATATATATATAGCTTTGTATAGCTTTGTAAACAGTATTGAACACTTATCTGGCTGCTGGAAACACAGCTGCAGGGGTCCATTGCCTCTAACACAAGCTGCCTTCCTCTGGAAACTTTTCCTTATAGTTAAAGGAGAAACCCTCAAAGTGTTGGCATTGGAAGGCTCGATGTATACCTTTGCCCCTTATTAAAAGAAGGAAAAATTTCCATCCATCTGAGAGTTTTTCAGAGCTCACTCCTTCAGCTCTTCAAGGTTAGCATAAATATTGGACTGCAGGACTGTAAGTGAAAGCTCCATTAAATATTTTCCACTAATTAATACTTCCCAGACTCATAAAAAACCTAGGAGGCATCTTTCTTTGTTGCTTAGTATTAATTTCATGTTTGTGGGTGGGGGGAAAACATCTTTCTCATTTCCTTCTTTCTGATTTCAAAGTGCTGGGGGAAATTGTAAGGGCAGTGGAAGTAGGGAAGCCCCATGAGTTAACTGCAAGATGGCAACCCTCTGCATTTAGGAACTGTGAACTAGTCATAACATTAAACTGGAGGAGGCCTGCTGACTTTCAGCTTTATACAAAAGATGTCTAGTGTCTTTGTGTCTTTATACAAAAGATGTCAGCTTTATACAAAAGATGTCTAGTGTCCTGGACCCACTGCTGGACCTCCTGATGGCACCTGGTATTTTAGCCACTGTGTGACAGAGTGTTGTACTGGATGGGCCATTGGCCTGATCCAACACTGGCTTCTCTTATGTTCTTATGTACCCCTCTTCCTACAACCTGACAGCACAGGGACTACAACATGGTTGATCCTGTTAATACAGGAGTTTCTGACACTAAAATTCTGCTCTAACAATTCCAGTAAAACTGTTGCCTTGATAAGACATGTATATTCTGGATAATCCCACTGTCTGAATGGAACCTGTCCCCAGTGAGTTTGCTTCTATTTTGGACACATTCCATGTCCAGGAATCCTGATATGGAACTTCCTTATTTAAATCTTTTGCACACATCCAGGTTCTTGACAAAAAAAGAGCCGGTACTGCAGCTGTTCTCTTTTATCAGATTCAGTTGTGACAAAACATTTACACAAGTGCTGATAACAGAAGAAGTCTTTTGGGTTATCTTTGTTCAAGGAGGTTACATAGTCCAAATCGCACTGAAAGATCTGCTACATTTTTTAAACCCTCCAGTTTCAGGGTGGGTTTTTTCTGGGTTTCATTAAAGAGATAAGAAATCTTTGGTGATCTACAAAACTGGAAATCTCACAGTCTCTCTTCCTAATGTCTTTCCTTCCTCTTCACCTGAGCTATTTTTACTTTTACAAAGACACTCCATCAGGCTTAGATCTTCGCCAAGGTCCTGCCACTTAAAGCATGAGCATAAGAAGTGGCAACGGAGGAGCTCCCTTTCACCCTGTGCCCCTGCTTAATGCCAGGGAATACTAACAGTGCAGTCCTAAGCAATGTTACACCTTTCTAAGTCCCTTGACTTCAATGAACCTAAAGGTCTGTAGCTCTGCTTTGGATTGCACTGCCAAAATCAAGTTACATGTTATTTTTTCATCTGTGTTCACATTTTTTTTTCCTTTTTGCAAATGCAGCTGCCAAGGCAACGTTTTCAAGGAAAATAGTGTTGGAAAAGAGGGAAATTTTAACTGTTTCTTCCTTGCTGTTTTCCTGCTGAAAAAGCCACCCCTGAACTACTTTTAGACCTACTGGGGAAAACTCCTCCTCCTCCTCCCCTTCCCACCTCCTTTCTCTTTGCAAATGTGTGACTGCTTTTTCAAAAGGAAAATAAAATAAAATAAACACACTGGGGAAAAGTAACATGGATTTTGACCCCAAAGCAATCCATGTTGCTTTCATGATGGAATGGCAGGGTGAAGATGGGAAGAGACCGACTGGAAATGCCTGATTTTTCCCCCCAGTCAAAACAGCACAGGTGAAATGTGCTTGGATGTGGTTTTTAAGTGTGCTGGGCAAAATAAAAGGCAGCTTGTTGCATGGGTGGCCATCTACCATATAACTAGTCTTTTTACCACTCCCATAAATATTTTTACAGCTCCCTCTGATTGTGTCTCTGCATTAACTCAGGTATAACACTGGCTGTCTTTCATCTTTGAAGCA